GTTCCATCGGAAGCAGAGAAATTGGTGTGCTTAAAGCGAGCTATTAGTTCAGATTAGGAATAGCCTTACCACTGGTGGATTTCTTTTATCACTGTGCTCCCACACACGCTCAATTTTAAAGCCCCTAATTAGATTTTTTCAAGAATTTTTGAAAAAATGCGTGCTTTTCACCATTTTCGAAAAAATCCGTGCTAAAAGTTGTTTTTCTAGTGATAATCCTAATTTTTTGCAGCCGGACGTGAATTCGAATAAGCTGGATGACGGGAACAATATAGATGTACTGCAGTCGCCAGATAATCAGAAAAGGCGTAGCGATCGTGGCCCACTGAGGTGGAAAACATTCGACAAAAGCCTTGATGATCCTGGTGGTGGTGACAGTGTATCGCATGTGATTAGAGACAGTGGTCAGCCGCTCATCGGAAAAATTAAATCCATCTTGAGGTTTTTGCTTTTCTACTGCTACTGTGAACAACTGATTAGGAGATTCCATTTTACTGATTTTACGCAGCAGTGCCAGGCCGTTCGATTTCGAAATGCGTACCTCCAGCAAATATTGCTTATTCAATATTTACGCACCACCTTTTCGGCCGCTGGCCAATTGGACACCAATTCCATCCCAGACGCCATCTACACAAAATCTAGTGGTTGAATGAAAAGTGAGATATTGTCACAAAAAGCTTCGTTTGCTCCACCGTCTTTTCTATGTGGTCAGCGCACGCTCTTCTCGCACTTCTTATTTTTAATTCATTGTCTATGCACATTGTTATTGAAAAAGGTAGATACGGCCCTTGAAATTCAATATTTTGAAGATATTTCAACTCAGTGTATGTGTGTGTGTGTGTGTGTGTGTGTGTGTGTGTGTGTGTGTGTGTGCGTTTGTGTGTATGTCCGTGTTCGGGTATTTCAACTCAGCACCCAAGCAAGCTCCGGTGCCAAAATTTTGCCAGTAGGTTCCCCAAGCAAGTGCCACCCCAGCACCGCGGTATGACTCTCACGCACGTCTAGGCTCGCCTATGAGCGCCTCTAACTTTTGGCGGGAAAATCGCTAACTCCAGCCAGGAAACTAGAAAACTGAAACTTTGCAGTTATGTTCCCTGTCCACATAGAACTCAAAGATTTCAAATTCAGCCTCCAGGCATGCGCGTTTCTTATGTACGGCTCCGTGAAGTTTCCTGGCGGGAAAATCGCTAACATGGGATCCTGAAAAGCTAGAAAGCTGAAATTTTAAGGGGATGTTTCCAGTTCATATACAACTGAAATTTGTGAAATCCAGCCCACAGGCATGCGTGGCTCTCAAGTACGTGGAAATTTTTAGCGGGAAAATGACTAATTCGGGAACCTGGAAAGCTGAGAGGCTGAAATTTTCAAGTAGTGTTCCCAACACAATTACAACTTAAAGCTATTAAATCCAGCCCCTCTCTGTGCGTGGTTCTCAAGGACGACCTCGTGAAAATTTTTGGCGGGAGAATGGCTAACTTGGTAACTGAGGAAGCTGGAAAGCTGA